TGGCACGGGGGCAGAACTGAGTATTAATGCAGTCAGAGGAGGTTTTGAACTGCTCTCTGTAGAGATTTTGCATCAGCAGGAGCACTAAGGATGTGTGTGATGGTGCATATAGAGCACAGGAACATGCTGACTTTGGATGGCAGAGCACTTTGTTTCTCCGACTGAAGAAGTTTTGTCCTCCAGATGCTATCGCGTCAGGTCATCTGAGTTATTGCGCTAAATATCCCTCAAGTGTGCCTAACTTGAAAACACTGCCATGCTGGTACACAGCTGTAACTCACAGTTAATGTAATGGATTATTATCACCTTGCCACAGCGTTGCAGGGCTCTGCTCAGGCTGCTGGAGCAAAACTTTAAATGTGAGCAGAACAAACAGAAGCATCAGTGATTTTGTAATTAGTTGCCTGTTTGAAAATAGGTTTTACATTTTAGTGATTAAAGACATGGCTTTAAATGGATTATGGTTCAGAACATTTAATCACCGGTGAGCCAGCGCTCGCACCCCAGTAATTCGAGCTGGAGTTTACCAACAATTTCTGCATCCTGGTTTAAGTGAGCACTGGGTCGCAAGGGCCATCGCAGCAGCTGCCTGGAGGGTATGAGGCAATCAACAGTCTTCAAGGTTTATGCTGCAATGCTGCTGTGACAGTAAACTTTATGCAGTCAATAGAGGTTATTGCTTGGGGGCAGGAAATCTTTTTTATTTTCCTTATAAGCTGGGCACCCCAAATAAAGCGAAGAAGAGAAAGACTTAGATAGGGGGTAAATGTGCTGTTGAGCTTTGCACACCTGTCTGTCTTAATGGAGAGGGAGTCACAACAAAACCCCTTTAGAATTACTTGTTTCTCTGCTTTAATTAGTTTAACAATGTCACCTAATCCCCAATAACACACAGACAATTACAGCATTTCATTCCTTTGTTATAAATGTCGACAAATAAATACTTTAAATCCCTGAAATTACTTTGTAGTACTTAGTGGTGGGACCTTTCCTTTTTGATTGATATCAGATAATTCAGATCAAACTGAAGATGTGTTTTCAGTAAGCTAAGGCAGCTCTAACAAACTTTCAGACTTGTTTCACTAATTCCACTCATGCAGTAAGTGACATACTAACCAGCCACGCCGTTCAGTGGTTTGTTTCAATCAATATAGAGACAAGAACACCACCATGGCTCTTTTTCTTAGCTGAAATTGATTGTTGGTAGTTGCTGCTCATACAGTGCTGTGCAAAAGTCTTGTGCCACCCCAAATGTCTTTGTATTTTTCTAGTAAAATATAAAGTGTACAAGGCAAAAAATATTTTTACAATTCTAACAAGATTGAAAGTCCATATTTGGTTTGATCACCTTTATTCGTCTACACAGCCCGAACTCTCTTAGTCATTCAAAGCTCTTCTTTGGATGTCGGCTTCCTTTCGTTCTGTTCTCTGTCAAGATGATCCTACACTGCTTCAGTAATGTTGAAGTCCAATCCATGACTGGTACTGTTCCAGTGTTTGTGCTTTTTTCTTTGCAGCTGGTTTTGCAACTTCAAATCTGATGATGCTTTTCGACCTTCGTTTAATCCAATTTTGACAAGATCTCCAACAACACTGGCTGCGGCCCCAATGACCATTTTAAATGAAACTCAGATACAGCTGAACTCCCGACTGTCAGTTTTAATTCAGGGGGCTGAACAAAAAGATTACATAAAAATGTGAGGAACTAAAGTATTTTTGAATACACTCCCTTCATTTCAGGGGCTCTTAAGTAATTGGACAAATTAATTAACTGAAAATAAAAATGACAATTTCTAATACTTGGCTGAAAACCCTTTGCTTACAATGAGACCGAAGTCTTAAACTCTGTCCATCTGTATTATGGAACGCTGCTCAATCAACTTGACTGCATTTAGCTGGATTTGAGCAGACAGTATGTCTCCGAATTCATTCGGCTGCTTCTGTCCTGTGAGACGTCATCACTAAACACTCTAAACACTAATGTCCCAGTGCCACTGGCAGCCATGCATGCCATCACACTCCCTCCGCCGTGTTTTACAGATGATGTGATGTGCTTTGGATCATGAGCTGTTCAAAATCCAATTTTCCTTTCTATTCCTGAGACTTATGAGTGGCTTGCACCTTGCAGTGAATCCTCTGTATTTACTTTCATGCAGTAATCTCTTTATGACTTGGATATCGATACGCCTACCACCAAGAGAGTGTTGTTCACTTGGTTTGCTGTTGTGGAAGCATTCCTCTTCACCATAGAAATGATTCTGAGATCATCCGCCACTGTTGTCTTCCATGGACATCCAGGTCTTTTTGTGTTATTGAGTTCACCAGTGCTTCCTGTCTTTCTTGTTTTCTCAAGCTGTACCAAACTGCAGTTTTTGCCACTTTGACATGTTGTCAGTTCACAGTAAAATCTTCCAAATGCAAGCACCACACCTCAAATCAACTCAAGCCCTTTTTTCTGCTCAATTGATAATGACATAATGAAGGAACTGCCCACACCTTCCCATGAAATATCCTTTGAGTCAATTGTCCAATTACTTATGGTCCCTTTAAAAAGAGGGTGGCACATGTTAAGGGGCCGAAACGCCTAAACCCTTCATCCAATTTGAATGTGGATATTCTCATATGAAAGCCGAGAGTCTACACATTATAACCATGTCCATTATATGACTATAACTGAACTATGTTTCAGTGAACAGGTAAAAAACAAAAAGAACTTAGGTTCACATATATTTGGACAATGACACAACTTTTTTCAGGCCTGACACTTCTTCTGTCCTCCACTTTTCCAGGCGGACAAGTGGAGGACAAGTATCTTAAGTACACAATACACAGCAAGCTAAAATATGCTGAGTTTTTAGGTAATGGCTCTGTGTAATCACCTTATTGTTGCAAAACCACTATTTTATCCCTGTCGAACTGTGTTAGCTTTGGCATTTTTCAAAGATTTTACTAAAGAAATGGTGACAGATTATGTGTTTTTGTGACAGGCTGCTGTAACAAAAGATATTGGTTTGTAAAAATACAATTTAAAATTGGTTCTTTGTTGCCTGTTATATGTAGACAGAGCACTCATTCGTCCCTTGAGGTGGCGCCATTTATAAGCTCAAGTGATTCTTAGATCAGGGGCTTAACAAAGTTTTTTTTAAACACTTTATTAAGAAATGCTCAGGTTATTACTAATTATATACATGTGTGTAGTTTCTTTACACCTGGTTATGTGGAACTCCAACAAATGCAAGACTGCATCAACAAGGTTACATTTGACTCGTGGGGAAATTATTACATTGCTACATATATGATACACGTGCACAGGAGGTTGTGTTGCTCCAACATACAGACAGAATCTATTCACAGACACACACAAACACCACGTCTAATCCACGTTTGTGGCGATTAGAAGTGTCTTCCCATTCACAGAGAATCCAGTTTCAAATTTTATTGATCACTTTTGATCACTACATAGTACGACTCCACTTTATATCTCGACACTCAGACTTTGATCAACCACCTTATTTTGAACTCAGACCCCTCAGATCAGAGAATCAGTTACCATCACAGGTTCCAGAGTGCAGAGTGCTTAAATCAAAGGGGGAGTTATACTTGTGCTGAGGGTTTGCTGTGGGATAAGCTCCAGTTTGATTTTTTCCCCTCCCTCTATATATATTAATTTACTTCTATAGAAATAGACTGGCTTTGTTTTTTAATAATACATGTCATGTCACTATGGATCTTTTGTCTTTTTTCCCTTCGTTAATTCTGTGAAACACATTTTAAGTGTTTTTGAAACAAATACCAAGGGCATTATCCCAGCTGGTGAAGAGGGAAAGCATCCTAAGAATAAATTATGACACTTCTACTTAGTTTGCAATCTGCAAAAGTTGATTCTGTTCATCTGGACGTAGCGTTTTGTGGGAGGAACGTTTCGTCACTCATCCAAGTG